CTGAAACTTAGATTTAGGATCATTGTGGTGGTGTAGGTTTGGGGTATATAGGAAGTTTTGGAAATTGGTACTACTGTGTACTAAATTTGGCACAATTTAAACTGTGGATGAACCGATAGAGCTTAAATCCTGAAACTGGGATTTTGAATCATATTGAGGGTGTAGGATCGGGGTATGCAGGAAGTTTTGTTGGATAGTTGAGGTGGGTACTTATGGAAATTATGTGTACTTAATGGAACTAAATTTTATATAATTTCGATTTGGGTGAATCTTTAGAGCTCGAATCATGAAATTATGTACTAAATGGTACTCAAATTTAATTTATTGGCGATATTAATGTGTGGAGTGCTTAGTTTTTCTCACATATGAAATTTTCTACGAAAATAAAATAACATGTTAATACATGTTTAAATATTTCCAACATTCGCTAACCAAATTGCGGGCATATGCTAATATATATGTATATATAAAATTTGTAATAAATATATTTTCCAAGGACCAAGTAGAACCAACATTTCTTAAAAATATTTTCAAAGAACCAAGAGCTAATCATATCTAAGAATTAATTTTTTTTTAATTTTTTCAAAAGCTAATAAGAGCCTCAATTTTTTAAAGATATTTTTCCAAAACCAAGAAGAGTGAATTTTTTAAAAAATATATATTATTTGCGAAACTATGAGGCTCCTGAATATTTTTTATGTGCTAGTATCGTCTATTTTTTAAGGATATTTTTCCAGAGTGTTATAAGGGCCAGGATTTTTTTAAACATATTTTTTTCCGAAACCAATAGGAACCTGAATTTTATATATAAAAAAAAAAAACATTTTTCTAGGTCCAATAATAGGCATTTTCTTTAAATATTTTCAAGAAGCAATAATTCCAAGTTATGAAAATAAAGGAAAATATGGGACAAATAATTTTCAAGAAACAAATTATTTTTTAAGGACATATAATAGTGGGAATTTTGTAAGAAATAAGGGCTAATAAAAATCGGAATTAAAAATAATATGTATATATTTTTCAATGACCAATAAGGGGCTGAAATTAAAAAAATCAAGGACAAATAAGAACCGGTATTTTTAATAAATATACAAAAAAGCGACAACAATTTTAAAAGATCTATTTTCAGGGACCAATATTTTATTTATATTTTCAGAAGTTCAGAATATTTAAATATATTGCAAGGAATAATAAATTTCAAATAATAGAGGCAAAATTGTTAAAAATTTATTTTTTTCATGGACTAACAGTAATAATTTTTAAACTACCAATGGAATTTTGAAATGCCAATTTTTCGAAGATTACAAAAGAACATTTTATTTATTTTTTCAAGAAACTAATTATTTAAATAAAAAAAAAATTATGGAAAGTGAAAATAAAATTAGGTAACATAAGGTTCTGAAATGTTAAAATTTAAATGGTTCTAACAAAGCCTAATGTTTTTAAAATAATATTCTACATTTTTATACACTCAGCCTTTAGGCTAATGAGGGTATATACACTTTGATACGGTGAACATGTGCCTCATCGAAATATTGGTTTTAGACCCCATATTTCTTTGGACCAAATCCGTTTCAGAAAATTTGCAGTCGATTTAGGCATGTCCATCCGTGCGTTGTCCGTCTGTCTGGCTGGATGATCCGCACGATAACTCTCGAAGGCAGCAACCGATTTCATTCAAACTTTGCACATCTTAATATTTCGTCCAAACTTAGTTTAACTTCGAAGATGGGGTATATCGGTCCACTCCTTCTGGTACCTACCCACAAAATGGTCAAAATTGTGCTAAAAAATAATTTTATAACATGCAAACGGACTATCCGATTTTAACGAAACTTTCTACAGCCTATTATCTTTACCAATCATAGATCAAGTTTGAAGATGGGACCCACATTCCACTCTTCCTGTTACATCCCCCACAGAGGGTTAAAATTTTCAATATTTATAATACCAAGATCAAGTTAATGGAATGTCCGTTTTAACCCAACTTTTCACAACCTAATTCCTTTACCAAGCCTAGATACAGTTTGATGATGGGATCCATTGGTCTTCTCTTTCCGGTACCTCCCCCACAAAATGGTCAAAATTGTGCTAAAAATGAATTTTATAATAACAAGCAAACGGACTATCTGATGTTAATGAAACATTGTACAACCTAGTATCTTTACCAAGCCTAGATCAAGTAGAAAGATGAGATCCATTGGCCAAGTCCTTCTAGTATCTCCCCCACAAATGGTCAAATTTTTCAATATTTGCTAATCCAATATCAGGTGAATGGAAGGTTCGATGTGAACCAAACTTTGCACAACCCATTATGCTTACGAAGTCTAGATTTAGTACGAAGATTGGAGCCATTGGTCTACTCCTTCTGGTACTCCCCCACAAATGGTCAAAATAATAAATCCAATATCGGGCGAATTTTAACCAAACTTTACACAACCTATTATCTTTACCAACCCTAGATGATCAATGGATGGGAGCCATTGGTCCACTCCTTCTGGTACTCCCCCACAAATTGGTAAAAATGTTCAATATTTGTAAATTCAATATCAGGCGAATGGAATGCCCGATATAAACCAAACTTTGCACAACCCATTATCTGTCAATATTTTCGACCAAAAATATTTTTGGACGCTAATGGCTTCGAAAAAAAAACGCTATTCTTGTTTTGCATTCAACAGAAGCTCCTTATCATTTCATATTGTCGTTGGAATAGGCTTTTCTATATTTACTAGTCTTTGTTGGTGAATTTTCTTTTTCTTTGGGCACTTTGATGCATTTCTTTTTCCCTTCTCGTTTGCAATATGACTGTGCGGCATGTATAATCATTTCATCATCAAGATTTAATAGAATTTCCTGTTTTCCTCCTCTTGTTTTGTTCACTCGAATCGGAAAATGATGCAGGAACATTTAAGCTTAAGGCTCTTTTTTCTTTCCACAGTGTCTTCGCAAGACCATAGGCAAGTGGTTTTCTAAAAACTCCAATTTCTCATCCATACTTGGTAAATTTTGTAGTTGCATTTGCTCAAACAGACTTTTAAACAAAAATAAACATAAAATAAACTAAAACCAGTGAGCGGAGCAGGACGGGCCGACCATACGATACCCTACACAACTACCACGGAACTCAATTTTTCTGCGGATGGTTATTCCGAGCCTGGGCAATATTTCGTGATATTTGCACTCTCTTGCCCGATTAGAGATAAACAGCACCTCTTCCTCACACTGACATATTTTCCGAATATTACGAGTATTCAGTACAGCTATTGTCCAGGTTTGTGTGGTTCGACTTTCATTTCATGTATAGATCGAAAATAACACAAAAAATTAAGATTTCGGTACACTTCATTTCAAAATTATCTGGTCATCACCGAAAATTATAGGCGTTATCCTTGAACATAACCGGAACCTCATGAAACATTTCAAAGCGATCAGCGCTATAGTTCCGCTCTCTAGAGTGATAATGGTTTACTAAATAATATACGAATACGAAAATACCTTTAAATATTTAGGTCTAACTCCCACATCCGAGAACATACAACAATATAATTGGTATTAATTTAAAGGTAAACCACTCCTCTTGGATATAATATTAACTTCTCGGGTCTATGTCCTTCAGGGGTAAATATATACGCTATAGAATACAAATTTTGTCATTTTTCACACAAAAGTCATGGTCTATTTGACCCGCTAAATATTGACCGATCTTTATCAAAACAGGCATGCTTATTTTTTTGCCCGATCCCCTTCTCCATGCGAAAATTCGCGGTGTTCGGGCCATTATTGCGGTCTCTGGAGCGACCAGAAAAACCGACAAAAATTTAGTATTTGGTCCATTTCATCCCCTAAATATTAACTCAACTAGTCGAGATATGACGATCGGTATACATAAGGGTGGGTCTAGGACCAATGTTTCGCGGTGTTACAAACTTTTGGGGCTGCACAAAGCTATAATACCCTGACAACATAGTTGTGTAGGGTATAAATAGACATAAAATAAAAACTTGGGATTTTAAATTTTGTAAATACTTTGAACTGTTAATTACACAATATCTACCTACCTATGGGGGTCGTTTCTTCTAGAATACCAAAAAGATTAAAAATATGTATATTTTTTATAATAAAAACCAATAAACTTTTTTAAACTCCAAAAAAAAAACACCACTACATATTTATTTTTAGGGTTCATCTGATATATTTTGTCAATATTATTATTTACTACAATTTTATGGATTTCTTTAGAATTTGAATTGTTCTCTTTTATTATAAATTGAAAACATGGCGAAATCTTTACTTTTTTTAAATATACACACATTAAAATGCAAAAATATGGAAACAGATAAATCATTATCATCTCACTTTTAAGATAATGATGAAGGATAAAAATACGTTTGGTAAATTTTGAAAAATAAAAAATATATTTTTGTTTTGTTAAATTAAGAATCATTGTATAAGGAATACATTTATTTTACTTTTTTTATTGTACACAAAAACCAAAAAAATATGATTTTTTTTTAAATTTTGGTTAAAATAAGAGATTTACAGATTCTTGGTTGACGACAAACCAATAAAATGGAATTCTAATGAAGTTATATTTTATGAACTTAATCATGTTTGTCTCTTTTGATTGTTTTGCAAAAGACAAAAACACACACAGCTAAATAAAATGAATATAACGTGTATAAATATATGCAGCATATGTCCGTCGTCGTCCTTGTGGTGTGTTGTGTTAAAACTTATCTTAAATAGTATCTTATTACAAATAAAGACATTAAATTGATAAATTATATGTGTAGACGGGCGATTTAATGTGATGATGGATTTTTTCCCCACTCGTCACTATTTGCGGCTTGCAAGAATTGAATTTGATATATTGTGTGGCGGGGACTTGAGCGCGCGATTAAATCGTTCCAACATATTAATACAATATTGTTACTTTCTTAAAATATAGGCATATTGATGTTTCATTCTGTGTTCATCATCATCGTCCGTTGTGGATTTTAGTCGCTGTCTGCATGATCAGCATCATCTTCTTCTTTGTCATCCTCATCGTCTTTCTCGTCTTTATTTGAAACTTTCTCCTCTTCCTCCTCTTCATCTTCTTTAGTTTTCACCTCATCCTCTTCTTCTTCTTCGTCTTGTTCGTCATCGTCGTCCTCTTTGTCATCGTGTTTGTTCTGCTTCTTTCCAGAACCCTTTGGTCGGCCGCGTCCTCTGCCAGTACCGCCGGCGGCAGCTTTAGCTTTATTGCCACTACCGGGTTTTCGGCCACGTTTCTTGGGCGCCGTAGCCACATCATCTGTGCCATTTTCATTTTTGGCAACCTCTTTTTTGGGACGCCCTTGGCCACGACCTGAGCGTGAAATATTTAGATTAACACCGCCCGATGATGGTCTACCAGGGGGATTTTTTGTCTCATCATCGTCCATTTTGTCATCGGAACCTATTTAATATAAAAAAAATTGATGAAGTGTGGAAAAACAAATAAATGGTAATTAATGAAGATCATAAAAAGGATTTTTTAATTATTTTTGTTTTATTAATAAGCATGAATTTTTGATCATTTGGCCTTGTTAATCCTAGCGTAAATATTCTAATAAAAACAAGTGAAAAAGGCGTTAAGTTCGGCCGGGCCGAACTTTGAACACCCTCCACCACCATAGGTATACTGACAGATACTTGAAATGAAAATATAGGGAATATACCAACAAGTTAACCTATACGAACCCAATATGTTTGTTGAGACACAAATTCTTTCCTTCAGGAGGTATAATTATAGGGGGGATATGCCTAAATGGTGGCCGATTAATTCATTATCGCCTGGTTCGAGTTCGAGCGGAATGATTACAACCGATAACTAAATCGTCTTAGAATTCCACAATTTGTAGGGTAAAACTCACAATTTGTCCATATGGGGACAACCCCTACACACGGAACTAATCAGTTAACTATTTTAATATAAGAAGGGGGTTATATGGGGGGCGAATATTAATAATTTTTTGGTAGGAAGATTTGTTACTATATGCGACTACAACCCAGATACCCCAAAATACCGAAAATTGGGTTGCCCTTATGTGGTGGCTACCAGAAAAATTGGACCAATATTTATACTTTTTAGCGCACAAGAACCCCAAAATACCGTAAAAATTGGGGGTACCGTTATATGGGGGCTACCCGAAAAAATGGACCTATATTTATAATTTTTAGTGGAGAAATTTGGTACCCAATAAGAACCGATTGTACCAGCGAATTCGGGTTCAAAACGCGCTTAAACTCCTCAAAATACCGAAAATTGGGGGTACCGTTATATGGGGGCTACCAGAAGAAGTGGACAAATATTTATAATTTTTAGTGGAGACATTTGGTACCCAAAAAGAACCCAATGTACCAAATTTCAGCTAATTCGGTTAAAAAACGTGCTCACGAACCCCAAAATATCGAAAATTGGGTGGTACCCTTATATGGAGGCTATGTCTAAACGTGGACCGATATAACCCATCTTCAAACTTGACCTGCCTCCTGCAGGCAAAAGACGCCAAAGATGCCAAATTTTTGGCGATCTATCTCAATTCCTTCAGAAGATAGCGTGATTATAATAGACGGACGGCTAGATCGACTTATAATTTTACTCTGATCAAGTATATACGTTATAGGGTCGGAAATGAATATTTCGATGAGTTACAAACGGAATGACAAAATTAATATACCCTTCACACTATGGTATAACGTTATTTTCTTTTAGTTTCACTATAATTTCTGTGCCGGAAAAAATGCACACCTAAATTTTTTTGTAGAATTGAGCTATCTTCGAAAAATGGTTATGTTAGGCCGGCTGTTGCGCAAGGAAGTAACTGATTTCATCCAAAATGTACACATCGTAATATTTCTTCCAAACATAGTTCGAAGATGGGGAATATCGTTCCACTCCTTTTGGTATATCCTCCTCAAAATGGTCAAAATTGTGCAAAAAATTAGTGGAATGTCCTATTTGAACCCAAACTTTGCACAACACATTATCTTTACAAAGTCTAGATTAAGTCTGAAGATGGGACCCATTGGTTCATTCTGTCTGGTACCTCCCCCACAAATGGTCAAAATTTTCAATTTTATAAATCCAATATCAGGCGAATGGAATTTCCATTTGAACCAAACTTTGCACAACCTATTATCTTTACAAAACATTGAAATTTTTTTAATTCAGAACACTTCGATATACTGCACTTAAGAGTACAGAACATATTTTATCAAAAAATAAATTCGTCACAACGAAACGAACAGAGATTAACGCCTATGTTGACTAGTAAAAGTTTATGGCACAAAGCAGCATTTTTGAAGCTCAACACAAAACTTCAAATATTTGTCAAACTGTAAAATATTTTTTTCTTTGAGGCTAAAATAGATTAAGTGGAAGTTATTCTATTCAAAAAATATTATTTTGGAAAAATATTGTCACTTTCAATAGATTTATAGGCGTTGACCATCAAATATGCTGCTATGTGCCAGAAACTTTTACTCGTCAACATAGGCGTTGACATATTTTCGTTGCGTTGTGACTGATATATTTTTTGATCAAATATATTCTGTACTACTCGAACAATCGATTTGATATAATAAATGCCAATATCGATCGATATTTCTTCACATACCGACCTTCTTCAATAAAGGCTATCGAAGTTGAATCGTTTAAGTTAATTTTAAGTTAATTCCCATTTTTTGAGTTATTATTTCAAATATTTATTTATTTTGACAATTATTTATTGTTTTCTACTAATTCTAGCAATTTCTGGTGCATTCGGACCTTTATTTTCTATAATAAGGGTTATTTTCTGAATGTAAGGTGTACTGTACAAATTTTTGGCATTTTTGATCGATTTTACAGATTTTTTAATTTTTTTCTGTAAATGATTTTATCGGTGTTTAATTTGAATAAATTAAGTGATTTTTTAAAAATATTTTCAAAAAAAAAAAAAAAAAATACAGTAAAGTTAAAAAATCACACAATGTTTTAATTATGTGGCCACTTCAAAGTCGATGCATTTTCATTAAAACCGTTATTTATGGAAACATTGAATGCAATAATTTTCTATTTTCACACAAAATATCTTAAGTGCAGTATATCAAAGTGTTCTGAATTAAATAAAAAAATTCAAAAATACTTCAAACGAATCGAGGGCTGATCAAAAAATGTTCACCACAATAAATGTTTTAATTACGTGACCACCACTGTACATCGGCCAATTTTTTTTCAATAGCCCCCATATAGCGGTACACCAAAAAGACTCAATTCAGTACTCTATGCAAAATTTCGTGCAAATAGAAAGAAATATAGGGGCTTTAATACACCATTTACACAAAATCGGACGAAAATATGTGTGGGAGCCATATCTAAATCTGAACAGATTTCAAAAAAAATTAACACACGTCACTACGGCCTCAATTTGGTACGCTGTACAAATTTTAGTCTCAATTGCATAACTATTAGTCACTTTGTTGTACTACAATTGTGTTGTAGTTACGTCCTTTTGTTACAGAAAATATCAAATCAAAAGGACGAAACTGACTGACTGACATTTTAAATGTTTTAAAAACCCAAAATATTATATATTTTTTTAAAAATTAAATACGGCTCTATAGTTTTTTGCTTTTCCTGTAAAATTAGTAAAAGTGTAGTTACTTCCGTTTGCATTTATGATGATATATATGTCGGCAACACCTACTGACACTTTTTTACTTGTTCTATTTATAGACAAAGTCTGTAAGACATTACATTTTTGTCCTTTTTGCCAAGGGTATTCAGCGGAAAGACCCGCATCTGTAGGCCCGTTGCTGTCGGATTTTTTTGTTAAGAAAGATTTTCGTTGGGGTTTCTTTTGGTTCTGTTTGTGAAGAATTTAAGGAGGTAAGGATTTTCCATTTGTAGATATTTTAAGGATTTGAAGGATTTTCTGAGAAATACGCATTCCATTGCTTCATATGAAAATCCCTACGAATTGACAATGATATAAGATTATTATTTTTTAAATCCAAAACAATTTTTTATATTTACTACATGATTTCAAACATACCAAATTCAATAAGATGGTTTTGAAAGTTTTTTTTTTTTAAAAGCGTTTTTTCAGATGCCAGATGTTAAAATAATGAATCCTAACACTGGCTTTAAGAGGAACATGCCGAGCCGCTCTGTTGTGATTTTGTACATAGAAATTACTCTCAAAGAGAGCATGCGTGCTGTGGTTTGCCAGATGCTGGCTTAAAATATCCTTACTTTAGCCTATGGTTTTCTGCACAAGGGTGTGTGTGTGCGCGCAAAACTAGACCCTGCCTTAAATACATGCCTAAATATTTTTTCTATTGTTTACAGTCAGTTATTTAAGAATATTTTCTGTGCAATTGCGTACTGACTGACACCTTTTCATTTCTACCTAAACACAAAGCCAGAAGTACAGTAAAACCAACCAAAATCAATTGGTTATTGAAAAAGATCAAAATTGGTTTGGTTTCCCTAAAAAAAAAAATATGGCAACGCAAAACGAAACATAATATACAATCTAAAATAAAAACCTTTGGTTTATTACTTACTCTCATCCTCGCTGTTTTTAACTTTCCTAGGACGACCACGTCCACGTCCCGACGATGGTTTACTTTCAACTTTTGTTTTTTTCCGAGGGCTGCCACCATCACTAGAATCATTTCCATCGTCATCGGAAGCATCATCATCGTTGCTTACCGGAATTTTTTTTGGACGACCGCGTCCCTTGCCCGTTGCCACAATAACATTGCTATTCTTTTTGGCTGACTTTGGACGGCCAACGGGTCGTTTTGCTTTGCCATTTTCCACCGAACCTTCACGGCCGCGTTTCTTGGGTACCGACGCGGTGGTCACCGGTGACGATGAACCTTCTTCGGATGAAGAAATATCATAGTCGACAGAGGAGGCCACTTTTGTATCGGCCATATTTGTTTTATTTATTTTTTTGTTGTTCTTGATGTTTATACAATGGCTGTTTGGTCGTTCGTTTTGTCCACAAGAAGCGCGTCCCTTTTGCTTTGTTTGTAAGTGTGTGTGTTTGGCTTCTTCCTCGTTTATTTGCGCGCTTCTTATGCTATGCTTTGTTTTCCTTTCGCTTTATACAGATTTTTTTCTTCAGCAAAAACGAAATGCCAACTTTCTAAGGGGGAACACACCAACAAATAAAAACACAAACAATTAATTATTTTGCAATAACAATTACCATAATCAACAATTCGCTGCTTCTTACTTTTTCAGTTTTCCTCAAGTTTCTCAGGGTACAGTAATTTCTTCAACGTTAAAATGTATATTTTTTAAATAACACAAAATGTCTTCTGCTTCGTTTTTACAGTTTTTCTGGAAATTTATCACCAACTTCGTCTCTCTCGGCTTTTTCGTTCAACTGCCCTCTCTCAACAAAAGGATTTATTCGAATGACGCCAATGATGCCGGTTGCAAAAAAGCCGGCGCTTGTAAAATTGTGAGTGGTTGGTTTTTGCGACGGCGTTAACTGTACGGAGAAGTAGACGTTAAAAACTAACGGCGTTATTGTAACCGTTTTGTTTAGCTTTGTGTTTAATGAATCAAACACGATTAAGGGTGGCTGAGACTATATGATGAGGATGGAAATGTGGAGATGAGAAATGAGAGAGAGAATTTTTCTTAATAAAGTGTGACCTGTCCGCGCTACCCTGAATAGAGAAACATTTTAATAAAACATTTCATTTATTACGCATTGGCCACACGAATAAATAAAACGTTTACATTAAACGTATTTTAGGATAATTGTCATTTATTTGATATATATGAAGGGGAGATGGAAGAAGTGACGTTTTGTAATTTTCACCGCATATAGTCAAAAGGGTTATGATTACAACTATATCATATTTTTTTTGTAAAAATCCGTATCACCTTTGACCTATTTATTTAGTCGTGCTTTTAAATTTATTTTCCTATGGACATATACCAAAATTGGCTACGTGGCAGAATCCCCCATTAAATATGATAGTTTTTTGGCAAACCAGCCTTCGGTCGCAGATTTAAGATTTTCTCCTCTAGTCAGATGCCAACACTGGCTACGGGACAGGCAATATGGACTTCTTCGATAAAAATAACGGGTCAATAATCCTCAAAATATGGAATAAAAGCCGGTATCGATATATGGGGACTATTGTAAAAAGTGGACCAATATTAATCCATTCGATTGAAAAACTTGCCCAAACTCTCCAAAATACCGACATATGACAGCTATTTTAAAAATTGACGAATTTTGGTAATTCTTGGTAAGAAGATGTGTCGCCAATTCGCTTTTAAAACGTACCAAAAAATGTGGGGGTACCATTATATAGGGGCTATCATAAAAAGTTGACCAATATTGATAAGTTTTGGTAGGAAGATTTGTCAGCCAGGGATTATTACAGAGACGAGCTCTGCAAAGCAGTAATCGAAGCTGAAGAATGTTTTCTCCTCGTTCTAGGCTTAGACAAGTCTTTCATGGCAAGTATAGGTAAGGCCAAGGCTCTGTCTTGCTATGCTATGGAGATGACGACACAATGATTGGATGATGCCTCCTCCAAAATATTAATTTTAGACTCCAAATTCCTTTGGCTTAAATCCGTTGTAGACAATTTGGTGTCGATTTACAAATGTTCGTCCGTCCATCAGTCTGTCAGGCTAAATGATGCTCGCGATAACACTCGAAGGAAGTATGCGATTTCATTCAATTTTTTTTTGTATCGTTTGCTTTAAACTTAAATCCAGTATGAATATGGGGAATATCGTACTTATGCTTCTGGTATATTCCCCAAAATTTAATATTAAATTCAGGCCTGTACAATGATAGAAGATAGAGCGTATCGGTTCAGATGATTTTACCGTAAGGTAAGACTTAAGCGTATGAAAACGTAAACAAAAAATCTGATTTTCAAACAAAATTGCAAATTCAATTCTTACACGACCTGTTTAATGGACCTTGGACCCAACTTTATTAAAGTGGTCCATAACAAGTTCTATTAATAAGGTTATCCATCCAGCCAAAGTCAGCTGTTTTTTCAAGTTTGTTGTCAAAAATTTGGACGTTTATATAATAGAAGTCAATTCACAATAATGGATTTTGACAGCAGCTTACATCCAGCTGCGATACCTCGATACTAGAAAGTAATTCCGTAGACCTCTGCAAACCAAAATCGATACAAATGTCGAGACTGAGTTTTTTTAGGTTTTGAAAAGCGTAGAAGTGCAGCCTGTCGACGCTGCCCAAGAATAAAGAAAAATTGTAATAACGCTTTTCATTTATTACGCATTGACCACACTGATTGCCTCGCTGTGCAAAGCTGATGGCAACAAAATAATATAGTAAAATCTGTATCATGGCCTATATATGGGACATGGTATAATAATAAAAGGTAACTGCAAGTGTTGTTGTACAAAAAACGATACAACAACCACATGGAAATTTGTTGTTGTAAGTTCTACTAGTGTCAACTCATTTGACAGAAAAATGTAAACAAACAAACAAATTATCATAAAATTATTTTTATTTTAAAAATGGAATATTTTCGAATCCTCAAAATAAAAATTGAAAAACATGAATGAAAATCTATCAAATTTATATTTCTATCGCTTCCACATCTTTCCTTTAATTGAGCCATTGCCATATATATGTGTAACACATATGACAATGCTGGGAATAGCGAGTAATTCCTTCAAGAAAGATTTGCTTCCTCAAACTTTCCCAGCAGGCAGATTGAGTAAATTGAATACGGGATCACATTAATAAAGAACAATTTCAAATTGTATGCGTTCCCAATTTTCCTGTTGGGTGATTTTTAAAAACATAATTTGTCAAATTCATATTGACTCTAGTATTACGTTGGAATCAAATCAGCTGGGATTTGCTGTTACCTTTTATAATTGTACCATGTATATGGGACTTATCTGTAATTTTCTTAAAGTTAACTAAAATTAACTACAAAAAATTATGCGCATTTAAAAATATATTTTTATACGGCATTTACATTAGAACTTTTTACCGGGTTAACCTACTTTATGAGGAATTATTTGGCATATGTTCAAAGGAATTGAAAATTTAAACCCAATGGGTTAACCAAATCCGGTTTAATGTAAACGACCTTTTAAGTTCTACGCTTGTCAAAAATCGCATTTATTTTTTATTGTCTGAGACATGGCAACCCCATCAATGTGCCTTGCTGTCAAGATCTATTGAAAAGGTCATCTGGCAAGCATAAGTCAGCTGTTTTTTTTTCTCAAGTCTAATGTCAACAATTTGGACTTTGTTTACGTTTTCATATTGGAACTCTATTCACAATAATGGATTTTGACAGCAAACTTGCTAGGCAGCTGATATCCAACTGGTCTCCCTGGATGACTTTATTAATGGACCTTGGTCACATAGCAAGCATAAGTCAGCTGTTTTTTACGTTTTCATAATGGAAGTCAATTCACAATAATGAATTTTGACAGCAAACTTGAGTGGCAACTGATATCCAGCTTGTTACTCTGTATGACCTTATTTATAGGCCTTGAACTTGTTCCGGAACTACAAACAGCTGATCAACTGTTCAAATTGTGATCAGCTGTTGGCCCTTGTCTCGTTTGTTTTGATTCTCATTCGTCACGGTTGGTCCTCGTCTCGTTCGATTTGACCTCAGTTTACAACTCCTTTTTAGTCTCCATCCCACCTCATTCGTAACTTTCCGTCTTCTTTTTTGACTTCTTCTTTACCGGGCATTTTGTCTTATCCCATCCCATTCGTAAAGGTGGAACGTTTTTCAATATTTCTTTTCTGCAGAGACTTGTCGTGTTAAAAAGTTTATTTTTACATTAAAAAATTGAAAATTGTGAAGGTGGCGAATGATTTGATTTTCTCCGCTGTCAAAAGTTATTTCATTTAATTCTGGGCAAACTTTTTTGTTTGTAAATTACTCCGAGTTTACCACAAAAAGGGAAAGTAGTGGTTCATCGGAAAGAAAACCCCTAATTGCTCTTAGCAGAATTGAATGAACGTTGCGAAAAACCTCATATTCAACAGTTGGGTATTGCATGTTAGAATAAAATTTAGCCATAGGATTGAAAGTGAAGCTAATATCTAGGTGTGGAGTAGGTGGTGTTGCGGTACTATTCGTTAGTTCTGCTTGCAGCTGTTGTCGGATTGGCGAATGAATTGAACGCTGAAAGTTGGGAACACCATGTCGGAACGTCTGAAAGAAAAGGAGTTGCCGCGTTTTAGTGGAGCTCTGCGAGCAAACACAGATTTGGAAGCAAAGCTAGCTCTTGCAGTTGACAGGGAGGAAGAGGAAACCAAACGCCAAGAACGGAATTCGTTTTTGAAAACGTAAGTTCGGGGGGATTCCCACCATTAGAGTTTTGATTTATATCCATTCCTTATCTCCTTCTTTCAGGCAAGGCGAAAAAGAGCAAACACTTGGCGATGTCTTGAAACAAATGCCGTCAGATCGTCAAGATCAGGTTAAAATTCATTTGCAGAAATTAAGAAATCTAGTGCAAGAATGTATGGGCTATGATGAACAGCCCAAGGTGGTGGAACATGCCACTCTATTTCTCTTTTGGTTGATGTTGGATCAAAAGGTCATCACTGTGGCGGCCACAATGCGTATACGTAGCATTTTTGGCACGATATTCGGCAACAGGTTGGCCATTATACATCAAACGGTTAGGTCCATACGTGAGCTACTGGAAGACTATGAAGTGGAAGATTTAAAAGATTGGAACAAAGGCAAAAGTAAATCAAAGAAGGGGCAAAAACTCTGGGGTGACCACATCAAAGTGAAATTCCAAAATATGCCACTGGAAGAGTTGAGTAATCTCATGGATTTGGCACCCAACACGGGGAATAAAAATGCTGCATCTCTTGGTTTTTCCATGCAATGGAATCAACTGGATCCATCATCATCCTCCGCCTCCTCCACTTCCAAATATCATAAAGTTGTGCAAACATTTTTGGAAATGTCACAAAAGGAAGAACAATCCCACTACATTATCAGCCTTACCGAACTATTGAATTCGAAAAAATCCAATGTGGAGTTACAAAATGATCTCATTGAGCTGCTGGGCTTTGATCATTTCGATTTGGTACAACAGGTCCTGAAGGATCGTAATAAAATCGCAACTCAATTACAGGAACTGGAACAACAAGAAAAACGCCAGAAACGCTCCAAACAATTACAACAAAAACAACACTCCAATAAACTGACAAATGGCAACGAATTAAGACCCACAGTGGCTTCGCAGGTGGTTGTACAATCGGCCCTGGAAAAAGAACTCAGCAAACAGACACGTCGCGAGGAAAAGAAAATGCAACGTCTAATGCAAAGTTTAGGTCGTTCCGATACCGCCGATGAAAATGATCAAGCCCAAGCCCTCAATCCAATGCAGCTGCGATTACAACAACAAAAACGTATGCTTGAGGTGGCCCAACATCAGCCACTGCTAAAAAATACCCAAGATTTAAAGGAATTCCGTTCGACATTACCACCCCAAATACGTTATCCTTATGTCTTCGATAGTCAATTGGAGGCGAAACAACATGCCGGCTTTATAGGCGGTAATCGTATATCACTACCCGAGAATGCCGAACGCATAGACTCGCGACAATATGAGGAGGTGAAAATACCCGCCACTGAACCACCACCATTAAGTGTAGGCAACAATCGCATCAATATTTCCGATCTAGATGAAATTGGGCAAATGGCATTTGCCAATTGTAAACAATTGAATCGCATACAATCGGTAGTCTATCCCGTGGCCTATCATAGCAATGAAAACATGTTGGTTTGTGCCCCTACTGGTGCGGGTAAAACCAATGTGGCTATGTTGACCATTGTCCATACGATTCGACAGCATTTGGAAAATGGTATCATTAATCGGGATCAATTTAAAATAGTCTATATCGCCCCAATGAAAGCTTTAGCTTCTGAAATGGTGGATAACTTCTCAAAACGTCTAAAGGAGTTGAATATTGTGGTAAAGGAATTGACCGGCGATATGCAATTGTCGAAAACGGAAATGCAACAAACTCAGATTTTGGTAACAACACCAGAGAAATGGGATGTTGTAACGAGGAAAGGTGAGGATTATATGTAATTTTTTTCTAATATTCACACGGAGTTAATTATCCGTGTGAATATTGAATTTTATAAATTCAAGATTCATTTCATGTGTAGATTTTTTAAAATATGTTTTAAATATTTTTCAAAGTTTGAATTTATAAAAAATATTTTTTTAAGTTCGAATTTAAAAAAATATTTTTGCAAAATTTATTCAAACATAAATAAAATTTTTTCAGGACTTATTTTTTGAATTTTTATCAAAAATGTATTTTTTCTTCTTCCATTTCCAGGTGCGGGTGATGTTGCCCTAATTAGCTTGGTCAAATTATTAATTATTGATGAAGTCCATTTGTTGCATGGTGAACGTGGTCCCGTTGTTGAGGCCCTCGTAGCACGTACTCTCCGTTTAGTCGAATCTTCACAGAGTATGATACGTATTGTCGGCCTATCGGCTACCCTACCCAATTACATAGATGTATCGAATTTCTTACGTGTTAATCCAATGAAGGGTCTATTCTATTTCGATAGTCGTTTTCGTCCGGTACCCTTGGATACGGCGTTCATTGGTGTCAAGTCGGTTAAACCTCTGCAACAATTGGCCGATATGGATCAAATCTGTTATCAAAAATGTTTGGAGCAAGTGCAACAGGGTCATCAGGTTATGGTGTTTGTACATGCCCGCAATGCCACGGTGCGAACAGCGACCACCTTACGTGAATTGGCACAACAAAATAATACAAGTGCTTCATTTTTACCCGATACCACCAATAATAACTATGGTCTAGCGCAAAGGGCAATACAGAAATCGCGGAATAAACAATTGGTAGAGCTTTTTGCGGCCGGCTTTGCCATGCATCATGCCGGTATGTTGCGTACCGATCGTCAATTGGTTGAGAAATATTTTGGTGAGGGTCACATCAAGGTGTTGGTTTGTACCGCCACCTTGGCTTGGGGTGTAAATTTACCCGCCCATGCTGTTATCATTAAGGGTATGTTTTAAAAATGAGACTCTTTTGAATTCCAATATTTATTTTCTTTCTTTTCGTTTCGTTTCGCCTTGTCTAGGTACCGATATCTATGACTCCAAACATGGCTCATTTGTGGACTTGGGCATCTTGGATGTACTGCAGATTTTTGGTCGTGCTGGCCGTCCACAATTTGACAAAAGTGGTCTGGGTACCATCATAACCACCTATGACAAACTCAATCATTATCTTTCCCTGTTGACCAATCAATTCCCCATTGAATCGAATTTTGTACAATTTTTGGCCGATAACCTAAATGCCGAAATAACCCTGGGCACCATTTCCAATGTTGAGGAGGCTGTGGAATGGTTAAGTTATACTTATCTCTTTGTTCGTATGCGCATCAATCCCCACGTCTATGGCATTGAATATGCTGAAGTTTTAAATGATCCCCTACTGGAGGAGAAGCGAAGAGCTCTTATTATTGGTGCTGCCATGAGTTTGGATAAAGCCCGTATGATTCGTTTCAATCAGCGAACTATGGACTTCAATGTTACCGATTTGGGTCGTACGGCATCACATTTCTACATTAAATACGATACGGTAGAAATATTTAATGACCTCCTAAAACCATTTATGTCGGAGGCCGAAATCTTTGCCATGATTTCACAGGCTCAAGAATTTCAACAGCTAAAGGTGCGCGATGATGAAATGGAAGAATTGGATGAATTGCGCCACAACTACTGCAAGGTCAAGGCGTTCGGTGGCAGTGAAAATGTTTGCGGCAAAGTTAATATTCTAATGCAGACGTATCTCTCGCATGGCTATGTCAAATCGTTCTCCCTCGTCTCGGATATGTCGTATATTGTACAGAATATCGTGCGTATTTGTCGTGCCTTGTTCTCAATTGTTCTGCGTAATAATAACGCCATTTTATCCGGTCGTATGCTGCAAATTTGTAAAATGTTCGAGAAGCAACAATGGGATTTTGAAACCCCAATGCGTCAATTTGGCAATCTGAATGCTGAGACTATCGATAAATTGGAAAGTCGCGGTATTAGTTTGTATACCCTGCGGGAAATGGAACAAAACGAATTGAAAGAGATTTTACGTAATCCCAGAAATGCGGAGCAGGTATTACGGGCAGCCCGGGAGTTGCCAATGCTTGACATTGAGGCCACCTTGCAACCGATAACACGTACAGTGTTGCGTATTAAAATCGATATATGGGCAAATTTCAATTGGAATGATCGTGTACATGGCAAAGTTAGTGAAAGTTTTTGGTTATGGATTGAGGATCCGGAAACGAATTTCATCTATCATTCGGAATTGTTTCAGGTGAGTTAGTCAATATTGGAATATTTTCTGAAGTACTATCAGAGGTAGAAGTGTTTATTTTTAAAGAATATTTTCTGAAAGATTATAAGAGCCTTACGCGTAGGTTTTTGAAGAATATTTTCGAGAAGACTATCAGAGCTATAGGTGTGTGTATATGTTGAAAAAATATTTTAGAAGGATTATCAGAGCTTTGAGCATGGATTTTTTAAGTATATATTTTAAAGGAATATCAGTGCTATAAGCGGGGATTTTTAGAAAATATTTTCTGAGGGATTATCAGAGCTATGAAATAGAAAGTATTTCCTGAAGGGCTATCAGAGTTATGAGCCGGATTTTCAAAGAATATTTTCTGAAGGACTATCAGAGCTATAAGTGTGGATTTTTAAAGAATTTTTTCGGAAGGACAATCAAAACTATAATAGTGGGGATTTATAGAATATTTTCTGAAGGGATATCAGAGCTATAAGTGTAGATTTTTAAGGAATATTTATTTTAACCTATAACTTAATTGTATTTCTTATGTTTTCTCTCTCTCTCTTCTAGGCCACCCGGAAATTTGTCTTCAGCGGTAAACCGCAACAGCTCGTCATGACGATACCATTGAAAGAACCACTGCCACCACAATATTATATACGCGTTGCCAGCGATACATGGCTGGGCAGTAACGCCTGGACAGCAATGACTTTCAAACATTTGGTTCTGCCCGAACATCATCCCCCATTAACGGAACTCTTGCCTTTAAATCCACTGCCAGTTAGTTGTCTGCAAAATCCCCTCTATGAATCCCTTTACAATTTCTCACATTTCAATCCAATACAAACACAAATATTCCATTGTCTCTATCATACGAATAACAATGTTCTGTTGGGTGCCCCCACGGGGTCGGGTAAAACAATTGTTGCCGAAATTGCAATGTTTCGGGCATTCAATATGTCACCCAAGGCGAAAGTAGTATATATCGCTCCGCTAAAAGCTTTAGTTAAGGAACGTATCAGCGATTGGAAGAAACGTTTTGAGGCTGGACCTCTGCGTAAGAAGGTAGTTGAACTTACCGGTGATACAACACCGGATATTCAAGCGATACGAGAGTCGCAAGTTATTGTGACAACTCCCGAGAAATGGGATGGTATAAGCCGTTCGTGGCAGACACGAGAATATGTCCAGGATGTTGTGCTAATTGTTATCGATGAAATTCACTTGCTGGGTGAAGATCGTGGTCCGGTTATTGAGGTGATTGTTTCGCGTACAAATTTCATAACATCACATACGGGGCGGAATATTCGCATTGTTGGATTGTCGACAGCATTGGCAAATGCCCAGGATTTGGCCAATTGGTTGGGCATCAAACAAATGGGATTGTATAATTTTAAGCCATCGGTGCGACCGGTACCGTTGCAGGTTCACATAAATGGGTTTTCAGGTAAGTAAGATTACGATTTAAATTTTTTTTATTTATTTCATAATTCTAAAGTTCGAAGACCACATTTCTCTTGATCACATCTGACTATCAGAGTTATAAGTCATGAAGGTGTAAATTTTTAAAGAGTATCCACTTTATTAAGAGACCTCAATAATTAACATATCCACTAACATACCCATTTCAAAGGCCTTAATAACTTTAAAAATAATATTTCATACCACTTTATTATTTTTTTTTTTTCAATATTAAAAAAATGTTAATGTTAATTTCTTCTGCGACGTATCATCATTTTGGAATATGTCAAAGAGCTATAATGTCCCGATAAGGTAAGCCAATTAATACCACGACCATGTTGGGCATCTCCATAGTGGCCATTGAGATTGCTAGAAAAGTAAAGTAATTCGTTTTTATTTCCATTCAAAAAAATATTGGAAATTGACCTTACCTAACATGACATGCACCATACCACCAACCACCCATATATGCCTCGGCACAATTACTACCATAATTATCATTATCTTGATCCTTCGTCGTAAATTTCAAACCAATATGACCTTTTAAAGAATCTCCTGCCGTACCGCTATAACGCCCGGTACGTTTTAATTTATATTTTTCCACTTCGTTGCCAATTTGAAAGGCATCGTATTTTGCATAAGCCTGTGCCTCATTTGTACCATTTGTCATCATAATCAGTAGTTCTTGTGGACCCTGATAATTTGTTAGGGCATGTAGCTTATCTAAACCGATAAAGAATTCACCATCGATATCACCAAATCCAACCTTATATTCTGACCATGTACGAAAGAAATCAATTGAGCCATCTTGTCGACGTTGTATAACAGTCCAGTCACCACCATCCTGCCAGGCATCACATTCGACGAGGAAACTTTCGTTGCTAAATTGTGGTATGCGAATATTATAATAACCACTGCGTCCGGTACAGGCGGTTATTTCGGCACAGTTGGTGAGTGGGCCATGGGCTTGACTGAGGGAAAAGGGAATATTTTTTAAATATTTTCCAAAAAGAAAGGGTTTTTTGTTTTCCTTACCATTTATATGGCAAGGTATCAACCCGTATATCAAAAATTGGTAAATCTATTTAAGAAAATAAAAATATAAACAAAAAATAACCCGACTTAGATATTTTCTTTGCAGAAAATAAAAAAAGCTTACCACTATTCTTGACTTGTTTGCTGAAAGTAGAAGTAAATAATATTAGTAGACAAAAATCAACACACTTATCTTGGGTTTTTTAATAAAATATTAATTTACATGGGCTTATTCAATAATATTTTTTAAAAACTTTAAAAACTCTTAGATATTTTAAAGACTATTTTTAAGGCCTTTTTATACCCTCCACCATAGTATGGAGAGTATATTAATTTTGTCATTCCGTTTGTAACGCATCGAAGTATTTATTTCCGACCCTATAAAGTATATATATTCTTGATCAGGGTAAAATTCTAAGACGATCTAACCATGTCCGTCTGTCTGTCCGTCCATCTGTTGTAATCACGCTATCTTCTGAAGGAATTGAGATAGGGTGCTGAAATTTTGTCTTTTGTCTGCAGGCAGGTCAAGTTCGAAGATGGGATATACCGGTCCACGTTTAGGCATAGCTCCCATATAACGGTACCCCACAATTGTCATTATTTTGCAGATCTTGAACGCGTTTTTCAACCGAATTCACTGAAATTTGGTACATTGGGTTCCTATTGGGTACTTAATGTCACCACAAAAAATTATGAATATAGGTCCACTTTTTGTAGTAGCCCCCATATAACGGTACTTCCTAATTTTCAGTATTTTGGGGGTTTTCATCGTATTTTGTCCAACGAATTGGCTGTAATTTAGTGTTTTGAGTTCTTAATAGGTACCAAATCTTTCCACAAAAAATTATATAGGTCCATTTTTTTAATAGCCCCCATATAAGGATACCCCCAATTTTCGGTATTTTGGGGTTCTTGAACGCATTTTTCAACCGAATTCACTGCAATTTGGTACTTTGTAGTCCTATATGGTAACAAATCTCACCACTATAAATTATTAATATTCGTCCCCTTTTTGGGTTAGTCCCCAAATAGGTATCTAATTTGTTCCGCGTTTTGGGTTTGGTTCTAAGACTCTGTTGTAATCATATCACCAGCGGTGGATATCGAGATAAAAAACTAGAACGTAAGGTTCGATAATGAACTATATATGAACTATAACCCTTATTTAGGCCTAGCCCCTGTGTGAGAGGTATTAGAAGGAGTGGGCCGATATTCCCCATCTTCGAAATTGAACTAAGTTTGAAAGAAATTATAAGATGGGCAAAGTTTGGATGAAATCAAAATTTTCTGAAACAAATTTGGTCCAAAGAAACATGGGGGTCGAGAACCTATATTTCCATGAGGCACATTTTCACCGTGTCAAAGTGTATACACCCTCATCAGCCATGAGGCTGAGGGTATAATTATCCATTAAAAATTTCTGAAATTTGTATTATGGTTTACATAATCGGTTTGTAGAAGTGTCGGTATAGGTCCACTTTTGATATTTTCCCTTAGTAGTTTTTTTAATACTAATTTTTCAAGGACTATCAGAGCTCTCGGTTATGATTTTTAAGATTTTTTTCAACAACGTAGGCGTAGATTTAAAAAATATTTGTAAAGCATTTTTTCCTACTTACCTCAACTTTAAGTTATCTATTGTAGTCTTAATTTCACTGACATCACTGACGAGTTGTCGTATTATATTTGTATCCTCCGAATTGTAGAGACCCTAAATAGGTATTAAAAAATCTTATTTTGAATTATTAAAATCAATTTTAAACTCACATTCCCAGCAGCAGCATCTTGACAACGCATTGCAAAAATGCATTTCACAATAAAAATCACATAAAATAATAATATTTTATTTAACATCTTCGAGCTATTGGAACCAAATCTGCAACCACTTGCTTTGCAAGCTTCAAAGAAACTGATTTAAAATGCTAAAAAACAAAATCATTATCCTACTTATGAAATATGATTATTTCTTTTTAACCCCTAAACTACTGGCAGCAAAAACGAATATAATTTCACTTCTCAATATGTATGTTAGAGATTTAGGCTGCGAAAGGGTTAAGAAATTTGTCGATTATGTTTCCTTCCTTTAGGTATACGCTTACCAAACTTATCAGCACTAAATTGTGGTTTTGCGGGGTATTTTTTTGCTAAAACCTCAAAAACATTTTTCGAGAGTATGGAATTTGGTTCTGCAAGAATTTCAGAATGTAGATTATTATGATCGATTGATCATTTGGACTTCTGAACACTCTATGAAATATTCAATGTTAGAATGAGAAATTTTCGGAAGGAAAAATGTTTTAATAAGTCTGGGTTTTACATGCAACGTTTGTAAGCAACTCCGCTGAGTTCTTAGAAGTGAGAGGTATAAAATGTGACAAGGGGGAAGAAATTGAAAAGAGAATCGAAGAGAGCAGCGGCAGAGTTGCTTAAAAAAGGTGCATCTGTAAACCCAGACTAATTAATTTTATTAATTAATTTTATTAATTTTATTATATCGAAATTTTTTTGACAACTATTTTTCCGTACCAAAAAATCCATTAAAAAATTTCTATAGATAAAAGTTTTCGATAACAATTTTTGTGACAAAAAGTTGTCGATAAAAATATTTTTATAATCATATGCCGATAACATTGTTTCTATAACGAAAAGTTATCGATAACAATTTTTATGTGAGGAAAAGTTGTCCATAACAAAATTTTCATTAATAAATATTGTAGATAACATTGTTGTAGATAACATTGTTTATATAACGAAAATGTATCGATGACAGATATTCTAAAACGAATAGTTATCGATAACATTTCTATAACGAAAACTTATCGATAACACCATTTCTATAACGAAAAGTTATCGATAATAACTTTTCTATAACGAAATGTTATCCATACTAACTTTTCTATAAGGAAAAGTTATCGATAATAACTTTTCTATAACGAAATGTTATCAATAATAACTTTTCTATAACGAAAAGTTATCGATAATAACTTCTATAACGAAAAGTTATCGATAATAACTTTTCTATAACGAAAAGTTATCGATAATAAATTTTCTATAATGAAAAGTTATCGATAATAACTTCTATAACGAAAAGTTATCGATAATAACTTCTATAACGAAAAGTTATCGATAACAGAAAGTTGTCAATAACAACAGGTTGTCGATAACAATTTTCTTTTATAACGAAGAGTAATTTTCTATAACGTAAAGTTATCGATAACAATGATAACAACTGTCGAAGTCAACTGTTCTATCACGATAATATATCGATAACAATTTTTTTCATTAAGAAAAGTTATCGAGTTTTGTTTTTATGCCTTTTTTATCGATAACAACTTTTCCATTAAGAAAAGCCATCGATAATAACTTTGCCATTAATAAAAGTCAAAAGTCAAAAGATTTCGATAATAAATTTTCTGCAACGAAATCTTGTCGATAACTACTTTCCAACAACGATAAGTTTATAAGTTTTCAATAAATGATTGTCTATAAAGAAATGTTGTGTAAAACAATTTATATACAACGAAAAGTTATCGATAACAATATTTTTGTAAGAAAAAGTAATCGATAACAACACATAAGTTGTCGATAACAATGACTCCATTAAGAAAATCTGTCGATTACTTTTTTATAGCAAAAAGTTGTCGATAACTACATCTTTATAACCGTAACATATCGATAACAATATTTCTACCAAGAAATGTTGTCAAACATTAGTCGATAACAATTCTCCTTTAAAGAAAAATAGTCGATAACAATTTTTCTATAACAAAACGGGCCGACAAAAAAATTTTCTATATCAAAAAATATCGATGGCAATTTTTCCATAGCAAAAATTATCATTATCAAATTTTCTATAACCAAACCCAGTATGATAACACCTTTTCTAATAAGAAATGCTGCAAATAAAAACTTTCATATAACGATAACTTATCGATAACAACTTTTATATAAAAATTTGAAGATAACAAATTTTCTGTAACCACAACCTTTCTGTAACGATAACAAGCTTTCTATAACAAAAAAATGTTTTTATATAACGAAAGGTTAACGATAACCATTTCACTATAAAAAATAGTTGTCGATATGTGTCTTACCAAAAAATTTGGTAGATATGAAAATATTATTTTTTTATCCCCTCCATATTTTCCAAACCCATTATTCTTTTGGTTACATTTTTAATTATTTTTTATTTCTATCGTTCCAGGAAAACACTATTGTCCACGTATGGCCACCATGAATCGTCCAACATTCCAGGCTATACGCACATATTCCCCCACAGATCCGGCCATTGTTTTCGTCTCGTCGCGTCGACAAACCCGCCTAACTGCCTTAGATTTAATAACATTTGTGGCCGGCGATGAAAATCCCAAACAGTTCCTCAACATGGAAGAGTACGAAATGCAACAAATTTTGCAGGACATAAAAGATTCTAATTTGAAATTCTGTCTTGCCTTCGGTATTGGCCTGCATCATGCCGGTCTACAGGAACAAGATCGTAAAACAGTTGAAGAACTCTTCCTAAATCGTAAAATCCAAGTGCTCATTGCCACCGCAACATTGGCATGGGGTGTTAATTTACCCGCCCATTTGGTGGTCGTAAAGGGTACGGAATATTTTGATGGGAAGGTTAAGAAATATGTTGATATGCCCATAACAGATGTCCTCCAAATGATGGGTCGTGCCGGACGTCCACAATTCGATAATGAAGGTGTGGCCGTGGTGTTGGTTCATGACGTTAAGAAAAACTTTTACAAAAAGTTCCTCTATGATCCATTCCCCGTGGAGTCAAGTCTATTGGAGGTATTGCCCGAGCATATAAATGCTGAAATTGTTGCGGGTACTGTACAAACAAAACAGGCGGCCTTGGATTATTTGACCTGGACATTCTTCTTCAGGAGATTACTAAGAAATCCTACCTATTACAATTTGGAAGGTCTGGAACCAAGTCAGGTAAACACATTCCTCTCGTCGTTGGTGGAAAAGGTAATCTATGAATTGGAAGCAGCCGCTTGTGTCGTACAAAATGAACATTTACTGCTACCGACATTTTTGGGACGCATTGCTTCGTTCTATTATTTGTCATATCGCACAATGAAACATTTCCTGGATGATTTGGAGCCGCAGATGTCAACATCGGATATTTTGCTGGCCATTGCCGATTCCTATGAATTTGATCAACAGCCTGTACGTCACAATGAAGATAAATATAATGAGTAAGTCAGATGAAGGGAGGGATGTGGTAAAACAACTTAAACGTTTATCGGGTATTAATTTTTGAAATTTATTTTAACAGAGAAATGGCAGATGTGGTGCGTTATCGTCCCCGTTCGCCAACATGGGATTCTCCCTATACCAAAACGTTCCTCTTGCTACAGGCTCATTTTTCAAGATTAGGATTGCCTAATTCTGATTATCTAACAGATACAAAATCGGCATTGGATAATGCAACACGTGTTATGCAGGTAAGCTCAAATTTCAATTTTCTAAAAAAACATTAATCGATAACCAATTTTCTGTAGAGAAAAGTTGTAGATAACAAAATTTCTATATTGAAAAGTTGTCGATAACAAATTCTCTATAGAGAAAAGTTTTTGATAACAACTTTTCTGTAGAGAAAAGTTGTCGATAACAAATTTTCCTTAGAGTAAAGTTTTCGATAACAACTTTTCCGTAGAGTAAAGTTGTCGGTAAGAACTTTTCTGTTGAGAAAAGTTGTCGATAACAACTTTTTTGTAGGAAAACTTTTGTCGATAACAACTTTTCTATACAAAAAATTCGATTCGATAAAAATTTTTCTATAGAAAAAAGATTGTAGATAACAAATTTTCTATAGTGAAAAGTTGTCGTTAACAAATTCTCTGTATAGAGAAGTTTTCGATATCTACTTTTCTGTATAGAGAAGTTTTCGATAACTACTTTTCCGTAGAGTAAAGTTGTCGATAACAACTTTTCTGTAGAGAAAAGTTGTCGATAACAACTGTAGAAAAACGTTGTCGATAACAATTTTTCTGTAGAAAAACTTTGTCGATAACAGTTTTTCTATAGAAAAAAGTAGTCGATAACAATTTTTCTATAGATAAAATATGTCAATAACAACCTTTTTATAGAAAAAAATCGTCGAAAACAACTTTTCTATAGGAAAAATTGTTATCGATAACACATTTTCAATAAAGAAAATTTGCAATACTTCTCGATAAAAATATTTCCTCAGAAAAAACTTATCGAAAACAATTTTTTTCATCAACAAATTTTGTCGATATTATTTTGTTGGAGAAACATTTTCGATAACAATTATTTTTGATGGAAGTCCGTATTTACCTATATCTTCGTTTCTTTTCCTTCCTTTTTCTCTAGGCCATGGTCGATTACACAGCGGAACGTGGATGGCTTTCGCCCACCTTGAAAATACAACAAATAATGCAAAGTGTAATACAGGCACGATGGTTCGATGAAAGTGAATTCCTGACACTGCCGCACGTCAACAATTCCAATGTCCATCTGTTCTATAATATAGCACACAATTATGAATATCTAACACTGCCGGTATTGAAAGATATTTGTCGAAATGATTATGAAAAATTGGCCGGTCCATTACGAGATATGTTCGAAGAGCCAGAAATTGAACAAATCTATAAGGTTGTACAAGATTTGCCAGAAATTGCAGTTAACATATTTGTGCAAGGTCGCAATTACGAAGAAGAAGAGTCTCTACGACCTGTCAGTACAGATCCTAAATCGAATGTCTGGACCGAAATACATCCGAATGAGGTAAGGCAAAATGGATTTATGAAGGAAAATCGGAATCATAACCTTTTGTTTTTTTTTATCTTGTTAGGATTATGTTCTATGTATCGATATGGAGCGTTTGAATGTTAAACGCCAATTCAACACTCAAATACATTGTCCCAAATATCCCAAGGGTAAAAAGGAGGCATGGTTTTTGACACTTGGCTCCCAAGGCAATGACGAGCTGCTGGCCATGAAACGTATCAATATGCGTGGCCTGAAATCATCAAATCGGATAACTTTCCAATGCCCACCACGGCGAGGACGTTTGCTACTAACCCTCTATTTAATTTCCGATTGTTTAATCGGATTCGATCAACAATTTGATTTACAATTTGAAGTTGTCGATCCGAAACAAGTATAGAGATACACAATTTTATTACACCTAAGTAACTAGAATTCACCTCTAAAAGACTTGACAGCTTTAAAAGTATTTAATGTAAAAAAAAACAACAAATAACATAAAACATACAAATATATATTGACATTATATGTAGTAGCTAGATCTTTGTGAAAAAACAAAACAAAAGTAATCAGTTCTGAGTAAGAATTAAAAAATATAGTTAAAGCTTGTTTTTTTTTATTAAAATTCATATTATATAAATATATAATTACAAAAAAATATAAAACCTATGTATAACATATAATTTTATATATTTATATTTGATACATATACAGTTATATTATTATTTTGCATTTTGTGTGTTAAAAAAATACAGTTCTTGAAAAATATAGAAATAAATTAAATGAATTTTTAAAATTCAATTTTTATTCAACACTTGAATTGTGGTGAGATTTTAATTTAGAAAATTTAAAGAGCAAATGCCTATTTCCACTTTTTTATAGAGCAATGCCATCGGTAACTATTGTTCTAAGGGAAAATTTATCGATAACAAATTTTCTATAAGGAGAAATTGTTGATAACATAATTTCCAGAAGGAAAAATTATCGGTAATAACTCTATATAGAAAAGTTATAGATAATGACTTCTCTACAAAGATAAAATTAAAATAACAAATTTATCTAGAGAAAAGTTATCGACAACAAATTTTCTATAAAGAAATGTTGTCTATAATTATTTTTTATTTGGGACAAGTTATCGATAAATTCTTTTCTACAGAGAAAAGCTGCCGATTTTCTATTGAGAAAATCGCCCGATTCTATAGAGGAAACTCTTTTATAGGTTATATTATATTAACTTTTTTATAGAGACAAGTTATCGATAACTACCTTTCTATAGCGAAAAATTACTTTTCAATAAAATACAAATTACTATTCAAAAAAAATCGATAACATGTTTTATGTAGTAAAAACTTATTTATAAGAACATTCCTATAAACAAAAGTTATGGATAACAACATTTCCATAGTGGAAAGTTATCGATAACAACATTTCCATAGTGAAAAGTTGTGGATAATAATTTCTCTATAAGGAAAATTTGTCGATAACAACATTTTGTTGTCGATATATAGAAATGTTATCAACAATTTTTTTAATAGAAAAGTAATCGATACATTTTCACTATGGAGATGATGTTATCGATAAGTTTTCACTATGGAAATGTTTTTTTATCGATAACTTGTCTATAGAAAATTTGTTATCGAGAACTTTTTAATATATACAAGTTTTTATCGATTACTTTTTTTATTTATAAGTAATTTTTAGCTATAGGAAAGTAGTTATCGATAACTTGTCTCTGTGTAAACCAACATTTATATAGCAAAAAGTTATCGATAACAACATTTCCATAGAGAAAAGATATCGATAACATCTTTTCTATATTCGATTACAACTTTTGTATAGAGAAAAGATATCGATAATAATTATTCGCTATGAAAATTTATCGATATTATTTTTTCTATAGAGACATGTTGTCTATTTTAAATCTTCACTAAGGAAAAAAATGTTTTTATCGATAAATTTTGTCTACAGAAAAGTTGTTATCGATAACTTTTTAAATATAAAAACTTTTTTATCGAAAAATGTTATTTATTGAAAATAATTTTTCGCTATAAAAAAATAGTTATCGATAACATGTTTCTGTATAAACCAACTTTTATATAGTAAACATTTATCGATAAGAAATTTCCTATACACAAAAATTATGGATAATAACATTTCCATAGAGAAAAATTTTCGATAAAAACTTTTCTGTATTCGATTACAACTTTTGTATGGAGAAAAGATATCGATTTGTATAGAGAAAAGATATCGATATGTATAGGGAAAAGATATCTCTATGATCGATAGCAATTTGCCTATTAGAAAAACTTATCGATAAGAAATTTTTTATTAGAAAAAGTGGTAGATAAATCAGATTTATAGTACGTTTACATTTAACCGGATTTCGTTAACCCAATGGGTTTCAATTGTCAATTCCTTTGCATATATGCCAAAGTAGGTTAAAGTAGGTTAACCCAGTAAATGTCGCCTTATCCTCGTTTACGGCGTAACATCATTTTTACATAGGTCAGCGAATTGTAATGTCCCGAAAACGAATACCAGTCCACACCTTTGGCATAGCTCTTGTCGCCATAGTGACCATTTAAATTGCTGAAAAAACTCTAATTTCAGTGACAATATTTGAATTTTCGGAAATATTCCTACTCACCTTGAATGACACTTGGAATACCACCATGCACCCATGTAAATAACAGCACAATTTCCCTCCGCATGTAAATCATTGTCTTGATCTTTGGTAGTGAATTTCATTCCAATGTGTGATTTCAGCGAATCACCCGCCGTACCCGTATACTGCCCCGTCTGTAATAGTTTGTACTTCTCCACTTCATTGGCAATTTTGAAGCTATCGTATTTGGCATAACCCTTAGCTTCGTTGGTACCATTTACCATAAGTATCAACAGCTCCTGAGGTCCTTGATAATTTGTCAAGGCAAACAGCTTATCCATGCCAATGAAAAATTCTCCATCCAGCTGGCCAAAACCCACTTTATATTCGTTCCATGTCCGATAGAAATCACCCGAACCATCCTCACGTCTTTGTATAACCGTCCAGTCACCGCCTTCGGTATGGGCATCACATTCGACGAGAAAACTTTCGTTACTGAACTGCGGGATGCGCACATAATAGTAGCCACTGCGTTCGGTGCAGGCCGTTATTTCAGCACAGCTGGAATAGGCACCATGGGTGCGGCTAAAGAAATAATAAATTATATTAAATAATCGGAAAATTATTTTTTTAAAAAAACAACTTTTATCGATAAATTTCCGTCACATAAAGTTGGTATCGTTAAACATATGTTATGGACAACTTGTTTCTAATAAATGGTATGTTCCCGTACTGCAAGAATCTGCAACTTTTTACTACGATAACGAAATTTCCTTTATGTTATCGAAGAAAATAGTAAAATCTAGTAGATTCTTGCTGTACGGGAACAGACCAAAAATGTTATTATTGAAAAATTTTGTTTCTCGCAGTAAAATATGGGTAATCGATAACTTTTATCATCAGATAATATCTTATCGTTAACATTTATCAAGAGAAATGTTGTTATCAACAACATTTCTCATATCGACAACATTTCGCAATAGATAAAGTGATACCAAAAATTGGTATAGATAACGTTAGCGATAATTATTAACACCAATTTTTATAAAAACGTTAGTATCGATCCATTTTTTCCATAAAAATTTACTCTCGACCACTTTTCCCTATGTTGTAATCTATAAATATTTTCTGTAAGAGCTGTTATGGATTAATTTTTTGTTAAGAAAAATTCGTATATATAACTTTTCTCTGGGGAAAAGTTGTTATCGAAAGCACTAAGGCAGGTTAAGTTGGCAGCTGATGTCTTGATTAACTTTCAAAGTGGGTAATTTCTACTTGAATTCGATTTGCAGTGATTTGCAGATCAGAGTCAAACTTTTGGACGCCGCTCCCTTCATTCTTTTACAATAAAATAAGCCAACTTAACAGGTCAAGCCTGAAGTCCTCATATGTGTTTTCCCCTTAATACTATTTACTTACCACTTATAAGGTAATGTATCAACACGAATATCAAACATTGGCAAATCTACATAGATATATATCATATGATTATTATTTATCATTATTCGGTGTACATATGTATATAACATTTACCCTTTACATACCTTTCGCATTTTTTCTAAAATAACAATAAATAAAAAAAGTATATTATGTTCATTTCCACTTAAAAATTAGAGTGGTGTTAATAAATACCTCAACTGCATATTTTCGATGGTATTTTTAATATCATCTACATCCTTGATAAGTTTTTGTGTTTCCCAATCCGCATGCACCTAAAATGTATTTTAGGGTTTAAAAAAAAATATTTAAAAAAATATTGAATTAAAGTCTCACATTTCCCACGCTGTCCTCACAACGCATTGCAATTACTGCCACAACGCAATTTATTGCAAAGACGATTTGAAATAAAAAATGTCGGTTTTGCATTTTTTATTTGAAGGAATTATTCGTTGCAGCACTTCCCTGTAAAATAATAAACTGCCGATTTTTGTTGAGGAAATATTCGTATTTATATTGCTTTGTACAAGGGTTCTCATATGGCAAAGCTTTACTTTATCAACATCAAATGGTGGTTTTTGGCATGGGGAATTATTATTCTGATTAGGAAATTTGTGGGATTTTTTTACATTATCTGCGGTATCATCGTTCTTACTTATAATCTATACCACACCTAGGCAGAAACGTTCAATGAAGAGGGTGTTTCCTGAAAAGATCGATAGGATATGAAAGCAATAATGTGGAAAGATATATATTAATATACTAGCAAGTGCCCGCTACTTCGTATGCGGAAAGGGAATACGTGAATACTGTATAATTTGTTGTACTACAGTTCTCAATTCCACCTCTATTCCTACATCTGATACCATGTTTATTACCATTTAGTAATTTTCATGCACATAAGCACTATTTTCCGAAATCTCTTTGATATTTCCATTACACAGACTTATAATAGATCAGAATTTCAATTATATATATTTACGTGCAGGTTTCACGTTTAGTTCCATTTCGAACACATATGTACACATTATCAAGTCTACCTCCGTACCACCACCACCATTGAATTTAGTACCAAAAACCCATTGGTACTTCCTTCTGACTCTCCGTCAGTGACCTATATTGCAAATTTTAGGTTTCCAGCTTTCTCCGTTACCAAAATCCAAATTTAGTGCATTTTCAATTCTACTTACTATTCGTACACATAAATTGGAGTTTTCAAAGTTGTCTCCACAGATCAATACTACACTTCAAGAGTTATCTAAATTCCAAATCACAGGATTCATACTCATAAGTAAAAAAACCTACATCAATCCTACACTCTAACAGTAATCTTAATTCCACCAAATACCAAATTATTTCAAATTTAGTACTCTGCAAAATACCTCAATCCTGCTTTCAAATGGTAATCGTAAATCCAAAATTAAAAATTTCAGCTCTGTCTTTTCATCAAACCTGCTTTCAAATAGTAATAGTAAATCAAAATTTAAAAATTTCAGCTCTGTCTATTCACCAAATTGTACCAGATTTCGTACCATTCTGTACCCACATTCCAAACCTATATCAATCATTCACTCCCAGAGTAACCTATGTTGCAACTTTCTGGATTCGAGTTCTACCCGTTAACCAAAGTCCAAATTGTACCAAATTTTATGATTTTCGTACCCATAAGTACGAATTTCCTATACTACCTCAGTCATGCACTCCAATAATAACTTTAAGTCCATATTAAGGATTCCAGCTCCATCCGTTCACCAACATTCAAATTGTACCACATGTAGTACCATTATTACTTTTCGTTGACATAAGTACGAGTTTCCAAAACGTCTTCAATTCCACGCTCCAACATTAATTTCAATCATAAATCTCAGGATCCCAGCCCTATCCGTTCATATAGATCCAAATTGTACCATATTAAGTACCATTTAGTACTTTTCATACTTGTGAGTTCAAATTTCCAACACTATCGCAATCCTGTAATCTAATAGTAATTTATTTTCAAATCAAGTTTTCCATCTCTATCCATTCACTCAAATCTAAATTATACCTAACTTAGTACACATAATTACCCATTTTCATTCGAAATGTAGTACCATTTAGTACACATAATGACAAAATTTCAAAACTACCGACATATATCAATCTTTCTTAATTCCAATTTTTTGGATTCTGCTAACACAAAACGAATTGTACCAAATAGTTTTTCTCGTATTCATAAGTACGAAATTGCAATAATTTTCATTCCAAATTTAGTACCATTTATTACACATAATGACGAAATTTCAAAACTACCACTGTAATTTTAATTCATAATTTCAGGATCAGCCCTATCCGCTCACACAAAAACAATTTGTAAACTATTTGGTACCATTTAGTACTTTTTCCCAAACTACGTCTATCCTACACTCCAACTGAAATTTTAATTCCAAAATTCTAAATTCCAGCTCTATCCGTTCACACATAATCAAGTTGTACAAAATATAGTACCATTTAGTACACATAAGTAATATGCTTCCATATCTTAATTCTATATTCCATTCTATATTAATTCTATATCCTAAAATTTGGAATAACGGTTGCTATTCCAAATTTTAGGTTTCTAGATCTCTCCGTTCACCCAAATCCAAATTGTACCAAATTTAGTGCCGTTTAGTACTTTTCGTACACTTAAATACGAATTTCCAAAGGTGTCTATAGCTCAATCTTCAACAGTAATCTTAATTCCAAATTTCAGGTTTTTAGCTCTATCCTTTCAAGCAAAATCCAAATTGTACTAAATTTAGTACCATATAGAACTTTTCGTACCAGTAAGTACACATTTTTTAAACTACCTCAATCCTACACTCCAACAGCCATTTTAATTCTCAATTTGAAGACTCCAGCTCTTTCCGTTCACCTAAATCCAACTTGCACAAAATTTAGTACCATTTAGTACTTTTCGTACACATAAGTACGATTTTTTATTGCTACCTCAATCATGTACTCCAATAGTAATCCGAATTCCTATTTTCAGCATTCCATCCCAATACACTTAACTAAATGCAAATAGTACCAAATTTAGTACCAACCTGTATTCTATATAAGTCTTGATTTAGATTAGACGAGTTTACTTGCGGCAATTCTTGTCGTTCTCTTTTGAACTTGCTTCATGCGTTTATACAAGGCAATTCGGTTTCCAAAATATTTTTCTATTTGTTGTGTTTTCACATTCAAAACTATATAAAATGTCAACAAATACGAAATACACAAAACGAATTGCCAGAAAATTGTCGGTACGAGCAATTTTTTTTTCATTTCTATTCCCCTTGCCCCTCTCTCCTACAAACAAAGACTTGCCGCAAGTAAACTCGCCTAATCTAAATCAAGACTAAAATTTCAAGATTCTAGCTATATATGTTCAATACATATACAATTAGAACTAAATTTAGTAAAGTTTAGTACTTTTCGTACACTTTTAGGTCGAATTTCCAAAAACCCTTTGGTACATCTTTCTAACTTTCCATCAGTGACCAACATTCCAAATTTCAGAATTCTAGCTCTTCGCGTTCGCCTAATACAAAGGGTACCATATTTGGTACATTTTAGTACTTTTCGTACCCTTCTAGTTCGAATTACCAAAAACCCAGCCTTATCTCACGCCTACACACCAACAACAACCCACACTAAATATTTCAGGCTTCTAGCTTTAGCCGTTTCGTCTGGGCGATGATCTCTCAGTCAGTCAGTCAGTCATTCACCCACTCACTTAGAAAAATTAATGGACGTTGAGGTAACTCCTACCTTCGACTGAAATGTAAATTCTTCGAGGACACGATTGACTTTGGCGTGGATACTTGAAGACTGCATTTCCGAAAGTAGTTATTGATGGTGGCTAAATATTTGAAAATTTTCGCGATTACGCTTGAAGAAATTATGGTACAATCATTGTAAGACGACACCACGAAAACATCCCGAGAAGGAATGCGGGGTTTCTCAAGGTACACGATGAACAAAATGGGAGCTAGGACACCCCTTGCGGGACTCGTATTTTGATTTAGCAATATTTTGGCCACGAAGTTTGCCGTCCTTTAAGGCATGTCAACATTGAATCATTCGCAAGGGTAGAATTCTTGATGCCGCATACCCCCATAGTATGTTCGGCCGTATCGAAAGCTATGAATAGATCAAAGGCTGGTACAATGATCTGTTCAGACGGTCATCGCTGATTAAGGTCATTCATAATGTTGGATGTTATTTCTTCCAAAACACATAATTCCTGGATCTTGGTCAGATAACGCACCCGTTTTACACCAATCTTCTTTAACTTGAACATTGAAGTGACATCTGGATTAAGGACTTTGTTGGATGGTTTAGCTGTGGAGGTAATTGCCTCTACGTCACCCGATATGCATTTTAGTGGATGTAAGTCTTGTTTCAAATACCTTGAACTTCGGATATCGGCTCGTTTTTATACTTTTCTGCGAAAATGTATTATCGAAGTATTATCCTAGTACCTATCTTTCTTTTTACAGAATAGTTCCGTTGATTCTGTAAAAAGAAAGATAGGTACTAGGAAAAAGAACCGTTTCTTACGTTCATATATTTTCGTATTGCTTCCGTCACTCCTTCTTGCTGCCTCTACTTTATTGGATGTGAATTTTAGGGACTGCAAATCTCGTTTCCGAATCTTGCACCTCCAGAAATCTGATCGATTGATTATGTTCTGCGAATTTGGGTGGTCGACGAATTGGCGTTAGATCTGTACCACATTTTTTTCCGCATTTGAATTCTGAATGTCATTGAATGAAATAGCAGAAAGAGCAGATTACACAAAGGGATTATTCCGCCAAAGAAACGATGGTTACTATGTCCGGTTCTTTAATTTCTTTTGGTCCAATCGTTCCTTTTTGTTTGTGTTCACCCACTTCCATTTGATCCAATTGTTCATCAATATCTTGGCCGAATTCACTATCGTGCAAGTCACTTCCGAAACAAGATTGCCCAGTTCTAGCCTCTATACTGAAGAATTTTCGTATTATTTTAGTGCTTAGCTCCAGAATTCGATCGTTAGCTGTGGAGGTCCTGTATCGCTTGTTACACAAATTTCACGAAATTTTTTTCTAGGCCTTTTTGGTTGCGGCAAAGAACTTAAGGAGAATCTTCAATGAATTTTGTGAAGCCGCACCAGTTGGCTTCATAATTATACGCCCAACGCCGACGAAATCGCTGGATCTTTATACGGTGGTAAGGATAGAAATATGGTCAAAATGGCCATGATTTGCCAAGACGAATAGGGAAGGAGAGAAAAACTAGAGCATCTAGCAATGACTCGAGAGATTTATTCGTTGATGGAAAATCAGACTCGTCTATCTAGTTCGTAATAAGGATACCGCATGGATCGTAGGGAAGTTGTGAGCGCTGGAATCGGCCTGTACAAATTTGTTATCCCCTTGGGAACAAATGGATTATGCTTGGGTGGTAACTAGGTACACTGTGTCACCAATTTGGTACACTGTGTCACTAACGCAAATGCAAACTAAATCGAAAATAAGGCAACAACGTCACCGCAAAGTAAACAAAAAACGAAGAATGGCAAAAGGAAACGTCAAAAAAATGTAAATAAAAACATATTTTTGTGCGGTACGAGTGCTTTAAAAAAATAATTATGGATTCGGTGGCGTTATGGTTAGAATGAGAATGAGGAACGAATTAAAAAAAAAATAAGAGATCGATCAAATATATTCTCCCAAAGTGACCACTAGTATGATAATAGAAGTACGAATAATGTGACAAACGTTTTCAAATATTTATTTTTTATAGATTTATACAAAATTTTCGTCTCAATAAAGATGCTTTAATTATTAAAAACGACCTCGTAGATCCACAGCAATTCCAACTCCAATAAAAGTAGCCGCTTCTTTGAAATTGCTTGGACAAGGTGGTTATCAACACCAAATTGGCTGAGTCCATCGGTTAGGATTATCACCTGTAAATATGCACACATAGTTAGTTTCACATTTTATATAAAAAAATATAATCCATTTGAAAATCGGCCAGTTTTGTCCACAAATTGTTGCTGCGTTGTTTCGCATTTGAAATCTGCAACTGTCTCGTCGCCCAATCGCTGTGTTACATTATAAAATCTACTAAAGTTTGGAACTTACAACAACAAATTTCCATGTGGTTGTTGTATCGATTGTTGTACAATAACACTTGCTGTTACCTTCTATTATTATACCATGCTGTTTTATTAAGAAACTTATCGATGACAATGTTTCTATGTAGAAAAACTTCTTATAACAACATTTGTATCACAAAAAGTAGTCGACAACGACTTTTCTATAACAAAAAGTTGCCGATAACAATTTTTTTAATAATGAAAAATTATCGATAAAAACATTTTTATAGCGAAAAGTTTTCGATAACATATTTTCCATAACGAAAATTTGTCGATAACAATATGTATATAATAACAAGTTGTCGATAACAAATGTTCAATAAAGAAAAAATATCGATAACAAATTTTCTATAACGAACAGTTTTCAATAACAACTTTTCTATTACAAGAAGTTGCCGATAATAACTTTTCAAAATATTAACGATAACGACTTTTCTATAACGAAAAGCTGTCGATAACAAATTTTCTATAAGGAAAAGTTGTCGATATCATGTTTTCTATAACGAAAAGTTGTCGATAACATATTTTCTATAACATATTTTCTTTAGACAAAAGTTGTCGGTAACATCTTTTCTATAACGAAAAGTCGATAACAGCTTATCTATAAATAAAATTTACCGATAATATTTTTCAAGCTCGACTCGAAAGAGTATAAATAATCACTTAAAATTACTTTGAAATGATCACTGCCCTTACAAGGCAAAATTCAAATAACAAAAATTAATTTCAGCTGAGCACGGCTAGGGCTCGAACCTAGGTCCTCGGAGCAACACAAATGTTGCCAGACCACTTAACGTTCTGAGCCATCAACACACATCCAAAACGGTTGTTCAAAAACATGTGGATACCATGGAAGAAATTGTAGGTGTGTGGATTAATTATCCATCGCTACAACAAAAATCTGCTTAGAAAAGGACTGTTCCTAGAATGAAGACAAATGTCGAACTTTGACAAATTTGAATTTAATTCACATATGTAAGTTTCGCATCAGGGCGGAATAAATACAAGTTATCAACGTACGACCTTTGTAAAGCCACATAGGCCAATATGCCTGATGAGCCGCTTAACCAACGGCGAAACGCGTCGCATAATGTTGGGTACGTAGGTTCTTCTCCTGGCTTTCCTTTTCATTGCAAAACTTAGATCATCAAGCTCGACTCGAAAGAGTATAAATAATCACTTACAATTTTTTTCTACAGTGAAAATTGGCGATAACAATTTTTTAAAGAGAACATTTATCGATAACAACTTATCTATATATATTAAAACATTCTATAACAAAAATTATTAAGGCGCTTACCTGCTTTCTCCCATTTCTTTCCACGTTTCTGCTTTGGTGTGGTATAGATTATAAGAAAGAACGATGCTACCGCAGATAATACATAAATGAGATCAAAAAAACCCACAATATTGGGAAAGCCTTAATGAGAATATTAATTACCCGTACGAAGAAACATCATTCCATGTTGATAAAGTAAAGTCCGAAACAATATAAATTCGAATATTTCGTAAATAAATAGACAGTTCATTATTTTAATTCGAAGTGGTAAAATCCTTACTTTAAAAAATGCTGAATCAAAATTGTTTATTTCGAATCCTCTTTGCAATAAATTGCATTGTGGCGGTAATTGCAATGTGTCGTGAGGATAATATGGGAAATGTAAGATTAAAATCGAATTTATTTTTTTAAATATTTTATTTGAGAATCTGATATTCCTTTTAGGGACATGCGGATGGGGAAACACTAAAACATATCAACGATGTAGATGATATAAAAGATTCCACTGAAAATATGCAGTCGAGGTATTATTATTTTTTTTTAAATTAATTCTGAATTTAAATTAAAAAATTAACTGGATTTTAATTTTATTGTTCCCCACTAGAAAAAATACGAAAGGTATGTAAGGTGTAAAACCCGATAATAATAGATAATAATCATTCGATATATTTCCATAGATTTACCAATGTTTGATATTCGTGTTGATAATTTGTCCGGTGAGTGGTAAGTAAATAGTATTATGTGGGAAACACATAAGAGGACTTCAAGCTTGGCTGTTAAGTTGGATTATTTTATTGTAAATGAATAAAGTGGAACGGCGGTCAAAATCGAGTTTTAAAAATTGACATTTAATACAAAGCCAACTTAACAGGCCAGACATGACCTCAATCCTCGAATGTGTTTCCCACTTTACATTTTGTGTACTTCTACATTGTGTTATCGATAACAACTTTTCCCTACAGGAAACTTATAAAAACGAAAGATAAAAGTAATCGATAACAGCTCTTTTACAGTAAATATTTATTGATTACAACTATTCTATAAGGAAAAGTTATCGATAGTAACATTTCTGCAGAGAAAAGTTGTCGATAATATATTTCTACTGAAAAAAGTTATCGTTAATATAATTTTTATTGAGAAAAGTTGCCGAAAACAACTGCTACCTAGAAAAAGGTTTTCGATAACATCAACTTTATAGAGTAAACTTTTCGATAATAACGTTTCTACAAAGAAAAGTTATCAATTAAAAAATCCATAATATATTTTGCTATCGATATATATATATATATATTTTTTTTTTTTGTGAAGATCTTAACCGATAAAATTGGTTTTATTGACAAATTTTTTGGTTTGTTCCTATACTTAAGAGTCTGTGAAACTCTACTAATTTACAAATGAGAAATCTATAATATTTACGATTATTTCAGGATCACTTTATGATATCGAAAAAAATAGTACAAACTCGGAGATTCTTTCAGCACAGGAACAAACCAATTGTCTATAATAAGTTTCAGACTTTCTTATATATATAATTTTTTTTTTCCTTCAGCCGCGCCCAAGGTCCGTATTCTAGTTGTGCTGAAATAACGGCCTGCACCCAACGCAGTGGCTACTATTATATTTATATCCCGCAGTTCAGTAACGAAAGTTTCCTTGTCGAATGTGATGCCCATACCGAGGGCGGCGACTGGACGGTTATTCAAAGACGTGAGGATGGTTCATGTGATTTCTATCGCACATGGGACGAATATAAGATGGGTTTTGGCGAGGTGGATGGAGAATTTTTCATAGGGCTGGATAAGCTGTTTGCCCTGACCAATTATCAAGGACCCCAGGAACTGTTGATACTCATGGTAAATGGTACCAACGAAGCTAAGGGTTATGCCAAATACGCTAGCTTCAAAATTGCCAATGAAGAAGAGAATTATAAACTAATACGAACGGGGCAGTATACGGGTACAGCGGGGGATTCGCTGAGATCTCACGTCGGTATGGAATTCACTACCAAAGATGAGGACAATGATTTATATGCGGAGAAAAATTGTGCAGTTTCTTATAAGGGCGCATGGTGGATCGCCAGTGTCATTTAAGGTTAGTGGGAATGTTTTCGATAATTCAAATATTTTTATTGAAATTCGATTTTTTTTGCAGCAATTTAAATGGTCATTATGGCGACAAGAGCTTTGGCAAAGGTGTGAACTGGTCTTCGTTTTCGGGATATTACAATTCGTTGACCTATGTGAAAATGATGATACGCCGTAAACGGCAACAACAACAACATTTCTCTTGTGGGAAATGTTGTTGTTGAGAACTCTCTTCTATAGAGAGGAGTTGTTATCGATAAATTTTCTCTATAAAAAGAAGTTAACGACAAGTTTTCTCTACAAAAAAATTGTTATCGATAATTTTCTCTACAAAAAAAATTATTATCGATATCGAAAGTTATTATCGATAACTTTTCTCTACACGAAAGTTGTTATCGATAACTTTTCTCTACAAAAAAAGTTATTGTCGACAACGTTTCTCTACAAAACAAAAATTGCAAAAATACTCGTTATCGACAACTTTTCGTTATAGGAAGTTTATTATCGATAACTTTTCGTTACAAAAAAGTGGTTATGGAATCTTTTTGTTATAGAAAATTTGTTATCGATACATTGTCTTCATAATAAAATCATTATTGAATTTTTGTTAAAGAAACTTTTTTAACTTCTTTGCTTAGAAAAAAATTATTGAATGTTATCGCTAGCCATAACTAATAGATAATTATTATCGATAACAATTCTCTATAAAATATTGTTAATGATAAGATTTCTCTACAGAAAAGTTGTTAACGAAACAGTTCTTTACAAAAAAAAAAAAAAAATGATCTTTGTAAATAATTTTTTATCGATATCTTTTATCTATATTTTTTTATCGAATCTGTAAAATTATTCCCTACTGAAAAATTTTTAATACGATGCCATTTAGAACAAGTTTATCAAACTTTGCAATTGGTAATTTATTTTACAATAATATCATAATAAATAATTTACAGGCTTATTTTCATTATCGGAATTAAATACACCACTCTGTCTCATCAATTTTTTGGGGAAGTTTTTTTTTTGGTTATTTTTTTTTTTTTGAAAATAAATCCATGTGTGTCTCGTACCTCAGCTAATCGAAAAATAATTTATTTTTTTGCGTCTAATCACCCATCGAATTTAGTTAACGAAAATCCTAAAGGTTTTCGTTTTCATCCAATTTTTCCGAATCCTGGCCCATTAAACGGTTAGCCTCTTGCATTTGCTGCTGCTGACGTTGGCGATTTTTCTGACGGAATATCTCTTTGCTGGCCTCCTTAATGGCCTCATAGATTTTGGCCTGAGACATGATTTGTTTTTGGACATTTTCCACAGCCGGTTCGGCATTTATGTCGATTAAATCGGATAGGCCCTCGGACATGTAATCATTGCTGTAGGTACTTTTATCTTCGATATCGTTGCGTTTGATAACCGGATACGAGGGTGGATGGGAGGAGGTGCGTTTTTTGCCACAACCTAAAACGAAAATTGGAAGAGGGAGAAAGAAAAACAAAAACGATTTTTGAGGGTCATTGTGGGGAACTTACCCGTAAAAGCATTGCAGAATGGTCGTTTCTCATATTTCCATTGGATGATACCGCTCAGCTTGTGCTGCAGGAATTCAGGAGAAAGATTTTAAGTTTTTAGTAAAAAAATATTAGGTTTCACGGAACCTGAACTTACATTGTTTGCATTCACCTCAGCCTGAGAGACATCGAACCACAGATGCAGGGTTAAAAGGCCCATAAATAAAACTGCATTTAATGACATTGTAAACTTTGTTTTTTCCAAAAATTCAGGCTCAACAGTATTTTTTTTTTTCCAATTCTGGTTTCCAAATATCCAGCGATAAGACCGAACCACCGTTCACAACAACGTCCAAACGTCGTTTAAGTGTAATTTCAAAAAATCACTGCATCTTATTGTTTCAAGAAATCGCTTGCAGGTCCTTTCCTGCTGCTGCTACTCTGCTAAACGCACTGACCTTTTCCCACAGCACAGCTGTATAAATGGTTTGTCCAAAATCGCCTTGATGCTGCGGTCAATCTCCCGCCGTGCGTTTAAAGTGTTTTGGTGGTCATTTTGGTTGGTGGTAATTGATTTTTGTGTTTTTTTCCACACGTTTTCGCATTTCTCCGTCGACTGGATTTGCAGCGCACACACATAGCCAATAATCTTGCCCCCCTCCTAGCAGCATAACACAATGTATGTTGAGTTGGTGTTCCTGTTAATGTCCTGTATTATTAATAGGATATTTCTTATCATAGGTCAAATTGTGTCGAGAATGGCTTTAAAGTCACAAAAAGTCATTCTTCCATTCTTAAAGTTGGAAGATTTTTTTAATTAAAAAATATGGAGAAGAAGAGACTTTTTGTATATTTTATAAAATTTATTGAGCTTCGGATTTTTTCAATACAAAAACCGGGCACAGCAATTTGTTCTACACGAAAAAGGACCACAACGAAGCTCAAAATATTTTCTATAAAAAATGTATACTTAGTCGAAGCTTGGAGATTTTTTCTAAATTTCGGAGGCTCACATAGGGTTCTGTAAATTTTTCTATGCGGAAAAAACCCCCTCACTAGGGTTCGGAAATTTTTTCTATACGAAAAAACCACCTCACCTAGGATTCGGAAATTTTTTCTATACGAAAAAACCCCCTCACCTAGGGTTCGGTAATTTTTTCTATACAAAAAACCACCTCACCTAGGGTTCGGAAATTTTTTCTATACGAAAAAACCACCTCACCTAGGATTCGGAAATTTTTTCTATACGAAAAAACCACCTCACCTAGGGTTCGGAAATTTTTTCTATACGAAAAAAACCAAATCACCCAAAAGGGGGTTCGGAAATGTTTTTCCTATACGGAAAAACCAACCTCACCCAAAAGGGGGTGCGGCAATGTTTTTCTATACGGAAAAACCAACCTCAACCAAAAGGGGGTTTGGCAATGTTTTTCCTATACGGAAAAAACCACCTCACCCAAAAAAGAACCCCCTTTTTTCCTATACGGAAAACCCACCTCACATAAATGGGGGGTTCGGTAATTTTTTTCCTATACGCAAAAAACCACCTCATTGACAATTTCCATTGTTCTTAATCATATCGAAATTCCGAATTTCCCCCACTGTAAAATCCCACGCGTGCGACTACAAAACTTCAAAAAAAAAAAAAAAAAAAAAAAACCATACAGAAGTCCCTAACCTAAAATTGGGAGAGAACATTCAAAGTAAAACAATCTATTCTCACTCTCCTCTCTAGGGCAGATTTTTCACTATCTTTTGATCAGGAAATTACAGATCCAAACGCTTGTAATGTGCCATGTCCACGGATGTTCATATGCCGGCAAAATATTGTGGCTATTTTTAAAAATCCTAATCATCAAAAATTTGTGAGCGAGAGACAGAGCGGAATAATAAAAGAGGAAAACAAAATTTGAAAATTGCTGCGTTTTCGAAAAATGAGAGCAGAGAAGAGCCGAATGGAAAAATTCTAAGAAGAAAAATCGTTGGTTTTTCTTTTGAATATCGGCTGATGAGCATCGGCTAGCAGCCTGTGGCAATTTCGAAAGTGCTCTCAAGGCGAACGGTAGCATTTGCAGTTGAAACGCGGAAAGTTTGAATTGGTGGAAAATAAAGTGAAATAGAAAAAAAATATATTTTTGGCTTTGAATCTATAGCCTGTGTAGACTTAGACATAGCAAGTGAGGAAAAAAGATATCCAATTTGGAATATAAATTTTAAATAAATACAAATTTTAAAAATTATCCAAATTAATACAAAAAATTAATAAAATTAAATTAAAATGTGAGTAAAATCAAATACAAAATTACAAATAAAAAGGATTCTTAGAAAAATACAGAAAAAAATTCTGAAAATGCAGTGCAACGCATAAACTCGAAGTGGCAAATCTATTTTTGTACTTAAAACAAAAGTACTTAAGAGCATTGCGAAAGGTGACAAATTCGAAATAAAAAGAGTGAACCTTGAACAAATAAACTTTGCATAACGCATAAATTTCAAAAAACAGAGAAGAATAAAACATTTCAAATAAAAAATAAATTAATAGTCAATAGAAATAAAAAATTGATATAAGGACTTTTTTATCAGGTTTAATTATTTCAAAGAAATTCAAAGAAAAAAATATTGCCGGCTAAATGTTGACATTTTGAAATTTTTTAAAAATATATGTATGTATACGTTTATCAGATTCTTAAAACATTTGAAGTTATATCACGAGAAAAAAGTTATATCAAATCGGGCTGTACCGATATATTGGTTCAATAGCCTATAATAATTTGTTTTTTTTTTATATTATAAATTAGATTTTCAATATGTCAGGCGTAAGCTTGGACTAATGCTGAAAAGTACCCACTCAGAGCACAAAATTCAAAATGATTGCTCCAGAATATGTGTCACCCAGAGTAAGCCCTACAAATATACATATATGTTGTGAGGGTACGACACCAAGAGTTTGTAAGGTCAAGAAATAACCGTCTTTGACCCAAATTTTAGCTGTATCGAAATTATGAAATTGTCATAAAATTTTGAATGTTGGATTTGGTTCTGATCCTATACAGCAGATATCGGATATAAGAAACTCAAAAAATACCGGAGATTTTTTTCTTATATGCGTTTTTTTCTTATATGGAATTATCGGATATAAGAAAGTTGTTTCTTATAAGCGTACATACTACTAGAGATTTTTGCGAATAGAGAGCAGGACTTCTATGAGAGAGGCATTATGAAGTTACCTTTAAATTGTCAACAAATCGGTGTATTTTGGGGCCAAATAGGACATTCCAAAGCATGTTAAATAAAATAATGGATTTCCCCCATTTTCCATTAGAACTTTTTACTGGGTTAACATACTTTATGAGGATTTATGCATAGAATCACTTTCTGAGTCGACTTATGCATGTCCGTCCGTCTGTCCATCTGTAGATGTTAAATTGTAAACAAAGTACAGGTCGCATTTATGATCCGATTTGGATGAAATTTGGCACAAGTCACTTATTTGGCCCAAGG